TCTCTTTTTCTTTTTTTTTTTTAATAAAAATAAATATCAGTAATCCCCACTGGCCACCTGCCTCGCTTTTGTGTATTTAATTAAGAAGGATTTGGGTGATGGAGAACTGGTCAAAAGTTCAGCCAGTTTAGGGGAGGACAGGAGAGTAAACATCTAGCTGAAGGACCCAAAAAATGCCACCATTCCAGCTGCTGTCTGGTCCTTCATGATTTCTAAAACAGCAAGGTCTCACTTTGCAACACAATCCACAAAAAAATCAGAGGAGTAAGGGAAGAAGTGCAATTCGTACTTAAGAGAGCTGGTCTGGACCAGTTCCTGAAAGCCAGTGACCTCACTGATCCCCAGCACAGTTTGTCTTTATAGTGATAAGACTGGAATTGTGTTCATGTTTAGCAAAATCATTTGAATCCACAATGACGTCCCTTTAGCAGTGAGAGAAACAAAGGGGAGAGAGAGCGGAAAAAACACCCTAAACTGAGTTACTAGAGAATACCAAGAACTGTCCTATCTTCCTACCCCCCCAACACAGTCACCTTGAAAGACAGAAAGTCCATTAAGACAAAAATAGGGTATCCTTGGCGTGGGAAAACATTTAGCAAAGTTTTAATTTACTTTCAAATCAGCATTTAAACGATCACATCTTACATCACTTCCTTTTACGAGCCAGCAGTTAGGAGACAATACACATCATTTACATGCAGTTTTGGAAGGCTGCAACATAGATCAACAAAAGAAGCCTTCACCATGAATTAACTATTACAAGACTCTTAGAAAGTCACTCCAGCCTGTGTCGAGGGCAATTAGGAGTATCATCCCCTAATTCTCATCTTTCTGGTGCACTCCTGTTATGCCTCAGAACTCCCACAAATACAACCTTCCACCCAAGTCATTGCTGCCACAAGAAAATGACGATGTCTGTGAGATGTAACAGCACACTCACAATGGTTAAAGTGTTAGATGTCTTTAAAACAGACACATACACAACAAAAGAGAAAGTGACTAAGCAAGTTAACAGTGCAGCGTCAATAGCAAAATTACAGTGTTTTATGCCTCTATGAATGACCAGATGATAGAGATTTTAACATTTCAGAAGTATTAACCAATTGCCTTTAGGTCACAGGTAATTTCAGCATTAAAAAAAAACAAAATACCAAAAACCAGAATGGAAGCAAACACCCAATTCAGACCTTATCTTGAGACAAATTTCAGGTGTGTTCTCATTTGGCACAAGCCAAACTTCATATTAAGCTTACTGCTGGATGTGAAAAACTAAAATCTAACCGCAGCAATGCCAAAAATGCTTCTCCCACTACTTGCAAAGATCAAAAAGCCCTTAAGGCAGCCGATCACTCGGTGAGCTGGCTGCGAGTCCCAGTTACACGGCAGCGGGACGGGGCTGGCTCAGGAGGGAACGGCCCGGGGCTCCCCGCCCGCCGCGGGCACAGGCGCGGCCGGGCCGGCCCGCACACGCCGCTCGGCTCCCGCCAGCTGATACCGACCTACCCAAGGGAAACTTCCCCCTCCCAACTCCGGCACTGGCCTGGGACTCCTTAAAAGTGTGAGAACGAGCGACCCAGGGGGTTCTGCGGCCGGTCCTTCCCGCCTGGGCTAGGATGGAACGCTGCCGGCCGTACTTGGCAGCGTTTAACCTTTTGCTTTCTCTCTAAGCTAAGTGGTGCAACTTCCACGCCATCGTTGTCGGGTTTCGACCCAAGCAAGAAAGGCAAAACAACTCTGGTTCCCCAGGATTTCCGAGCAGCAGTAGAGCTGTGCTTAGTCTCAGGATGAATGAATGAGCCAAGGCCTGCTGCCCCTTCCCCTGTGCTGGGCGAAGGCTTCTCCAAAACACCTCTTCCTTTCTTTCACACACCCAGGGCTGGGAAACCTCCTTTTTTCTTTTTTTTCCTTCTTTTTTTTTTTTCCCCTCATTAATTCACCACTGCATAACAAGCTGCTCTTGACACATAACACTTCTTCACACAGAGAAGGTGTAAGCAAGGTTATGAAGACAAAAACAATAAAAACTCTATAGACTCCAGAATCACAGAACTGTTTGGGTTGGAAGGGATCTCAAAGATCATCTAGCTCCAACCCCTTTGTCATAGGCAGAAACACTTTCCACTAGACCAGGCTGCACAAAGCCCCATCCAATCCAGCCTGCAATGCTTGCAGGGATGGGGCATCCACAAGTTCTCTGGGCAACTTGTTCCTGTGCCTCACCACCCTCACAGTGAAGGATTTCTTCCCAATACCTAATCTAAACCTACTCTCAATTTAAAGCCATTACCCCAATTCAAGCACAGCAACAGAAAACTTAGTATTTTTACCATGTCACCACTGAGGTCCCAGGCCCACAGTAACATTCCACCTAAGACAACCCATTTAATGCATAAAATGCGGGAGTAACTCCACTTGCATTCAGGTGCCAAACATCCAAGGGCTGCCCTCGCATTTCATACACGTATAAACATCTACACACCTACATATAGCTAAATAAACAGCTAAGGTAGAACTAGCTACAGAAATATCTCCAGCCAGATAGATGAGCTATTTCCAGCTAGCTCAGCTAAGGCAAAGAGGAAGAAAAACAGGGCTATTTTCTGCTTTTCAACAGGTTGGCGCCGTCCCCTTCCCAGCGCTGCTGGAAAGCTGCCTCCCCAGCCAGGCAAGCGACCTTCGGCATCATCGGCGGGTGCATGAGCTAGACAAAGAGATAACGTCATGCCCTCTCCGCTCCCTCCGTGTCCTCCCCGCAGTGGCAGGTAGCCAGCCAATCCCGCTCCCGGGTGACATCATCGCTGATGCCTGCACACGGATGTGGAAGTACACCAAACTACAGCTCGGCTCCTCAAAAGCAACCGACACCCCACCCCCCAGCCCCTCGGGATGACAGGCCGCTTACAAGGGAAATAAAACCATCCAGGAAGAGGGATTTCAAGAAGTGGGTTGCTGGGTAGAAGGAAAGCGGAAGGCAACGAGCAAATTCGGCCTAAACACGTTTTTCCCTCGGTTATGCAGTTCCTATGAAAGCCCTCAAAACATACACATACAGTCTTATCTTTGGGTGTGGAGCATCTCGCCTAGCAAAAAAAAGTGGCCAAGAAAAGTTGGCGGTTTTTTGCAACAACTTTTGCAACAACTGCTTTTTTTTAACATAACTTCATTAGTTTAAAAAGAAAGATTTTTATCGCAGCAAGGAAGTTTTTTGGTTTGGTGTTATTTGTTTACATACAGCCCTGTTAGGTGTCCACATGTACATCAGTGTATGAACATAAATGTGGGCAAACACCTAAGAAGAAGCAGTGCCAACCCAGACTTAAACACCTGTCAATCCATTACTGTCTAGCAGCTTGTACAGCAAGAAAAGAGACTGCCTGTTGCTCCCGTTATCACAGTGACACCGATGACATCAGGTGCTCATTCAACTCTCTTCCAAGACAATAAATGCATGTGCTCAATTTCACGCCTATTGCTGACTATTCTGGGAGAGCTCTACCTTACTTAAAGAAAACAAAATTTAACATTTCTGTTGTCAAGACTGTTAAACTAAGGAGAACTTTGCTCATTAACTCAAAAGCATTAACAAGTACACTGAGAAACAATGCACTAAACTGCAATAATTAACACGAGAGTTTCAAGTCCCACATTCACACCCTATTAATTTTTTTTTTAATAAGGGTTCAGATGATGCAAGCTCTGGGAGAAAATGATTACAGAAAAAAATTGCATCCTTTGAAATGGCAGAAAAAAAATTAAATGGTCGAGGTTGTGTCAAAGTGCTGCTTTTTACTCATCTTCCCCCTCTCTTGTGGCCCTTTGAGCCACATTCTTTTTTTCCAGCTTTATAGCAACAGCAGCAGCCTGGCTATTCGAGCTCAAGTCTTAAAAAGCAACTAATACACTGTGCAGGCAGACTAAATCTCCATCAGGAAGGCTGAGGTTCACGCCCTCATAACAAACTGACATGTGTTTCACTTGCAGAAGAGGCAGCAAAGCGCTTTATTTAGTTACTGGAGCTGCAAGCAGCAGTATCTTGCCATCAGGGAAACTCAGACCAATTACACTCCCTTGTTTATAAGAAAAAAGAAAAACAAAACAACAACAAAAAAGCAACCAAAAAACCAAACAAGCAGCTAAGCATCTTCATCTCTCTCCTTCTCTCTTCAAATGCATCTTGCATTTCTATAGTTTAAGGCTAGAGCCTTCAATCTTTAGCCAAGTATTAAGTCTGTGCAAATAATTAGTCATCCTAGTAGCTAGCACTCACTGCAAAGTCATGCAAGCTCAAGATTTGTTTGTTCCACTGACTGCACACTAAAGGGTAAAAAAAGAAAAAAAGAAAAAAGTAGGCTAGTTTCACACCCACATGGGCACTCTCTGATTTCTATTTTTTAAAGTCATACACTTGTCAAACAGGTTATTCTGGGAATTCTGATTTCCACAAAATAAGCTTCTCTGTTTCGGTCACTTATTGTCACTCTGCACCCCTCACCTCTGCACAGCCCATCAGATGCACTCGCCCCCAACTCCACAGCTTCAACACTCACAAGGAAACCGGGTGACAATTTTAATTAAGGCCAATGTCTTTGTCTAAAGTCACTGCAGCAGCAGCAACTTCCATAAGGCTTTCCAGCAGCAAAGCTGAATAAGCCTGTGGACGTGTTTGTATAACAGAGCCAGACTCTGACAGCGTCCACTTGGTTTGGTCATTTCTCTGGAAGGAGCACAGAGAAGAATAAGGACAATAAAGGGGTATTTCATCATTACAGGACGGGTACTTGGGAGAGTAATTTATACCCATCTGAAAAACCAGAAGCCAAGAGGCTGACAAACTTGACAAGGCCAGCAACAATGACAAGGGCAACACTTCTACCAGCCCTCACTGTTCCGGTTGCCAGTGCGGGTGGCTCGCCTTCAGCCGTGTGCTCAGCCCGGCGCAGGCACCGGGTACCCTCTGGAAAATCGGCAACAATAAAAAGAGAAGAAATTCTGACACAAACCTTGTAGACTTGCCCGTACGTGCCATTGCCAACCACTTCCACCAGCTCAAAAATCCCAGCGGGGTCCTAGGGGGAGGAAGGGGCAGAAGGGGCGGGAGAGGAAAGGGGAGAAGAGAAGCGGGGTTACACTTTTGTTCAGGCGATGGCTGCTGGCAGAGCCCAGCCAGCGAACCCGGCTGCTGGCGGCGTGCAGCTGTTGCGCCCTGTTTTTCCACGCACATGCCAATACATGCAAACAAAGGAAAAGCAGCCCAGGGCCGCGGTCCCCCCGCCCGTCCCCGCGGGAGGGCTCCCCCCGTGCGGCCGCGGCCCCCCGCGCCCCGGCACCGGCCCCGGGGGGCCCCCGCCCCGGCCCCCGGCACCGGCACTCACCCGCAGGGAGGAAAGGTCGATATCCACCAGACTTTTTGCAGGAGAATCGTTCGCCATTTTCCCGTCTCTTCTTTTTTTTTTTTTTCCTTTAAATATTTTTTTCTTCTCTGTTAAATAATAGCGAGGCCGCTCCCCCCTCCCTGGAGCAGCTGTGAATTGCGCGGAGCTCCGCTTCTCTCCTCCCTTCCGCCCTTCCCTTCTTCACTCCAGCCCCGCCGGGTTGAAACTCTTCAGCATTGGGAGGGGTTGGCGGGGGGGATGATGGATAGATAGATGGATGGTGGGAGGAGGAGGGAAAGGGAGGTGAAGGAAGGGAAGGAGAAAGGAGAAGGGGTGCTGCGGTTTGTCCGTCCGTCTCCCCGCGCTGCAGTGCGGGGCTGGATCCCCCGAGGATCCCGGCCGGCCGGTCGGTGGGTGAGCGGGTGAGTCGGTGGCTGCCCGCGCGTCCCCAGCGGCAGCGGGCTCACACCATGTCGCCGCGGCGGCGGCAGGAGCGGCGCCGGTGCCGGCAGCCTCTGGCAGCCTCACGATGCGCCCCGCACCCGGGCATGGCACGGCACGGCTCGGCCCGGCCGGCGGCGCTCACGCCGGGAGCCGGCAGTGGCAGCCGCGGCCCCGCTCTCGCATGGGGGGGCGGCTCACGCCCAGCGCCGCGGCGGAGCCCCCGCCGCCTCCGAGCCCTTCCCGCGGCGCTGCCCTCGCATCAAACGGCGCCGGGCACCGGCGGGCAGGGGCTGCGCGTCCCGGCGGCGGCGGGGCAGGGGCGCGGGGCTGGAGCAGGGTGCTGCGAGCCAGACAAAGCTAGCCGGGGAGGAGGAGGAGGAGGAGGAGGAGAAGGAGGAGGAGAAAAAATATACTGCGAGCGGAGAGAGAGAGAACAGCTCCCCCTTCCCTTCTCCAACAGGAAAAACCGGCGGAAACGCGCCCGAACCAGAGCACTGCTGGGTAAACTCGCGGGGAGAGAGAAAGAGAGAGGGAGGGAGCAGCGAGCGCGGGCGGGGAGAACCGGCCTCGCAGCCTGCCCGCCCCGCCGCCCAACAATAGCCCCACGGGGCGGGGGCGGCCCAGGGCGGCCCTTGCCCGCCGGCCCCGGCGCTGGGCCCCGCCGGCGGGAGC